GATAATGAGGTCCTAATTATTCTAACAACGCCTTGGATTCAAATATGAAAAGTTATACCTCTCTATTTTGACCACAAAAATGTTCAACTACTTAATCTATAAGTAGACTCCAAAGTAATGGAGACACAGCTAAAGATTGTGCACATTAAATGTCCTAATAGAATTTCATTAAATAGATGTATATGAAGTATTTGTTATGTTTTTATTATCTTTAATCAAGTGGTTTTAAATTACATTGTATATTTACATTGAAACGTTCACATTTGGATTAAATTAATCTAGACGAGAGTGACATACCCGTCTAAGTGACCACTTGACTGAAAAAGGATAGAAAAAGATAGATTATGTTTTCCCTCCAAGTACCATTATATGTCAAAGATATAGACATAGTATGTACTCATATTAAAAAAATGAGAAATCTTAGATACTTGGAAGTCATAATTGAGATAAAGGATCTTGGGAAACTCGGGTTGTTTTGAAAACACCAAGTTGGTTGAATAATAATTCACCAGTTGCATATATCCAAAAGGGTTCTCAGGCAAATTAACATGGATAAATGTAAACTGTTAGTACTCCCATGATCGGTCGAAATATGGATGCTAGAAAATATATCCAATATTGGAAAATTATTGGGAGAAAGAATTTCCTATGAAAGTGCAATATGCGCATGATTCGACCAAATATTACATTCTCAATAACGTGTTAGCTAAAAATAGCTCAGGACCAACACATCGTATATCGTCATTGGAATAATATCAAGAATGTACTTTGATATCTATGTCAAACCATTGGTGTAATCTTTAGTATTCCCTTTTATAAATTAATTAAATGATTGATGATAATAATATTTCTAAAGGAATCAGAAATGTCAAAAGTATCACTCTAACACAAAGTAACGTGATTTGAGTTTTACCAATGATGGATATCCCCTTACCTCATTGATACTTTCTTAAATGAATATATATCTACCATGAAAGAAACCAAGATGTTATATACGGAATACCTTGATAAAAGTATATATCAAGTACATATCGAATTCTTATTGATGTGTTGCATTCAGGGGGAGTCCTTGCATACTTATTTATCATTAGTTATATTGGTGCGTTGAACTCTTTTTCTTTTCCCTTTTTTGACCAAGGTTTATTTTTTCCCATTGGGTTTTGTTACTTGGTAAAGTTTTTTTTATGAGACAACGTAATATGCACCATCCCACATTTTAATTGATAGAGTAATTGTCTAGAGAGAAGTGAGAGCTAGAGAGAGAAGTGCAATAATATGCTTCAATAGAATGATTTTGTAACCCTAATAACTACCTCCAGAGGAAGTATTTATAGGGAAAATACGGGCTGGGCTCCCAAGCCTTGGGCTTGGGAGGCCCATTTACAACTAGACCGCTACTGGGCCGAATACAGAGCCACTAATGGACTGTACAAATGAGTAAGTGTAAAATCCGGTTCTGTGGGTCTCCCGTGGCCGAAGAGGGCTTCTGGCCGACGAGGGTACGGCCGACGCGGGCACGGCCGACGAGGACACCCTGGTTCCTTGGCCTCAAGATCATATTCTGGATCGGCCCCTCTTCGGCCGACGGGGGTCTTCCGGCCGACGAGGGCACCGTGTAGTGACTGTGCTTTCTGTTCTGAGTATGTGGGTCCTGGGGCCTAGACCCATATACTCCATCAGGAGTCTCCCACTCTCTAAGCTGAGATGTAGACGAAGTGCAGGAGAGTAGATTTCTGTGCTTGACGCTCCTTGGCCGATGTGGGATCACGTTGGCCGTTCCCTATCGCGGCGCTTGATAGCCCTGTGTTTTGAGTTTGGCCGTTGCATGTCCCCGATGCGGCCGGGGGAAGCCCTTGTTCCTTTGGTGCGTTTTGTTTGTTGGATGATGCGCGTTCTGGCATGGGTGGCCGATGAAGGTAGTACCTGTCCTTGATTGTTGACTAGGTAAAGTTTCCCTCTTGGGCTGGTGAGGCCGATGAGGGCACTCTGCATTCTTTCTGGCCGTCGTTGATGATGCGTTGTGTTATTGGACGACCCGGCGTCATCTTGCCCAAGGCTTTGGGGTTGATAACACTGTCTGGCCGAAGAGGAAGTTGTGAGGACCTCGGGGCCGTTGTGGTACATGGCCGACAGTGATTCAGGTATGCTGACCTTTCTCTTGGTTCCTGGCTTGAGTGATGTGGTTTCAAAGCCGATAAGTGTCCTGTGATCTCAAGCTTTGCTGTGGCCGAAGGTGCACCATGATGTTATGGACGTTGTGGTGCATGTCTGACGTTGTAGTTGTGGACTTGGTGTATTTTTGGATTTCTTTTGGTTTTGCCTTTTATTCTTGAGGCCGATGTAGTCCCTCAGTCCCCCACTGCTTCAGGCCGAAGAGGGTGAGGGGTGAAGGAGTAGATTAAGACCTAGGCCGAAGTGTGGTCCTCATACTGCCCTTGAATCCAACCCTTTGGCGATTTCCTGACCAAGGTAACCCTGTAGGAGAACCCTTGGACGCAGGTCGCTTTCAAAGGGTTATCATCAAGGGTCTAGTGCAAGGGCCTCATGGCCGTTATGTCCATTTCCTTTGGGGTGTTGTGACCGTTGTGAAACCTTCCTTTGCATGATGCGTGGCCCTTTGAAAAGGCCGATACGAGTGCTACCTGGGTAGCCGTGGGCTGTGTTGGCCGTTGAATGCCCTGGCTGTTATGGGTGTTGTATTTTCCCTTCTTGATCCGTAGGGCCTGCTTCGGTGGTGGGCTGCTGATCTGTAGACAGAGTGGTGGCACCTCATTGGTGGCCGTTGGTGTGGCCACTGAGGTGCTGCCACATGTAGTTACCGTTGGAGGTGTTGCCTATAAATACCCTCCCCCTTCCGAGGAGGGGAGCTCATTTGCATTCTGAGTAACGAAGTGCTGCCCAAATTCTTAGAGAGGGAGCTTTGCTGAGTGTTCTTCACCCCCTTCAAATCTTCAAGGTTAGTTCTTCAACCTGTTCTTCGATTTTGCTACATATTTTGCTCTCCTAGGCTTCGATCTAGTGTTAGTCACAAGAACGCCTTAGATCTGAAATAGCTTGCCTTAGTGCCTTAGGAGTTGTTTAGGATGAAGTCTTTAAATGACGAGTATTACCCGTACGACGACGAGCCCTCCGTCAAGTCTCTGGACTACGATGTGATTGAAGAGTGCGCCGACGAGATCGAGTGCCTGAGCCCGTACAAGTCTGGGGGACCTGCGGACGAGGAAGGCGAGGACGAAAGGTCCGCTTCGTCATCTGGGGGCGAGGACGTAAGGGCCCCCCATGTGGTGGACGGGGCGTCCGCCTCTACTGCTATCCCGTGTCCGAATCCGGTATCCGCCGTCAAGGTCCTGCCACGGCCGAAGAGGAACAGGAGGCCGAAGAATGGGCCGGGCTTCTCTCACCTGGACCTTACCAACATTTTCTTGATCAAGCCGGAGAGCAGTGCGACAGACTACCTGGTCGCACAGATGTACGTGGGGCCATTCGGGAGGGTCAGGGCGCCAAGGCCGACAGACCACGTTCTCAACCCACCGCCAGGGTACTTCGGGGTCTACCCGATGAGTTTTGCTAAGGGGCTGAGATTTCCCCTTCATCCCTTCATTCAAGAATACCTGGACATGGTGGGGCTTCCACCGGCCTTGCTGACCCCGAACAGTTACTCGCTGATGGTGGGCTTCATCCTTCGTTGTGCTGAGTTGGGCTACAGGCCGACAACGACCCTTTTCATGAACCTCTACCAGATCGGCCGAGGAAGCCACAAGAACTGTGCCTGCTACGCCACTCTGCAGCAGCAGCCCAACAAGAGGACGTTCACGGATTTGCCTTCGTCCATACATGGCTGGAAGAGCAAATTTGTCTTCGTATCCCTGGGCGAAGATGGCATAGAGTTCCCCTCCGTCGGCCATGATGGAAGGTTTACCCTGCATGATCCTCCGAAGAGTTCTATTCTGGATGCTCAAGTGGCGGCCTTCTTGGAGGGAGGGCCGAGGAGTGTGAAGCACTATATTACGGAGTACAAGATGACCACTATCGGCTTCTTTAGGTACTTCGTATATGGCGATAAGGAGGACGACATTGAGATATGGTCGAGGATGACCACGACCTTTGAGGAGGCCGACGGCCCTGATATGGGCATTCCTGCCGAAGCCGATGGTAATACCCCCTTCGGCGTACTCTTTTTACCTTGTCATTTTTAATTTGCTGACCTGTTTTGCTTGTTGTGCAGATTTTACAATGGATCGCCGGTCTGTTATGAACAGGGCCGCTGCGAAGGCCAAGGAGGCCGCAGCGAAGGCCGCTGCCAGCGGTGATGCTACGAAGAGGCCCCCTCCCCAGCCGAAGAAGAAACGGCCGGCGGAGGAGACGCAGAGGAAGCTGACGGAGGCCGGCATGCAGCCTGCCAAGAAGTCTAAGAAGGCTTCGTCCTCTGCCGCTGCCGATGAGGCCGGCGTTCTAACCGTCCCAATCGTGGACGAAGGAGGGTCAAGCGCTGCTGCTGCCCTCGTAGACCTTGGCTCTGGTCTCACCAGAGTGGGATCTCAAGCCCTTGCTGAGGACTCCCGGCCGAAGTGGGTCGGCAAGGAGGTGGTCTCGTCCACCTACAAGTTGGAGGTTGAATACCCCAAGGACGGTGGGGGGTCTTCAACGATGGCGTTGACGGCCATAGTGTCCTCTCCCAGGCCATCCCGGCCAAGGACCGGGTGTATCTTGACAAGCTGGGAGATGTCAAGATATACGATGGTGGTATGGACCTTGTCGTCCAGGTAATCTACCTTCTCCCTTGGCTTTTTCCTTTCGTTTCTTTTCTTTGGTATTTTTGCGTTCTTTACTGATGATCTTTTCCATTGCAGGGTGCCTTTATGCTCATGGAGAGCCATAAGAGGCAACAACGGGAGATAGCCCGTTTGAAAGAGTTTGAAGAGAAGGCAGCCTCGGCCGATGAGGCCATGAGCTGTCTTGGGAGGCTGCGGGCGGACTTTGCGGCCTTGCAGAGGAAGACTGATGAGGCCGAAGCGGCCAAGGAAGAGGCACTGGCCAACCTAGCTGCCGAGAAGAGTGCCCGTGAGGCTGATCGTCTTCGGGCGGAGGAGGCCGAGAGGGCCAAGGCCGAGGCTGAGGCTGCGGCGGTGAGAGCTGCCGATGATGTTGTCGCCAAGTTCCTGGCCGAGGGCTGGAAGGCCGATGAGCGCCTCCCTTGGTGCTATGAGGTTGTGGCGGCCAAGCTAGAGGATTGGGGGCAGAACTCCCCTGCCGGCCAAGAATACTTCGAGCGGGAGATGTCCGTATACTACAATATGGGCCAGCATCGGATGCAGAGGCTCATCTACCGCCGGCTTAGTCGCGCCCTCAGGACCCTGAACTACACCCGGGGTTGGGTCAGGCGGAACCTGCGCCTTCCTCGGCTGATGAGGGACCCAGAGGAGCAGGCCAACCTTCCCTTGTGTGATAGGCAGGCTCCGATAGAGAGTTCCGGCCTGGGCGAACCAAACTACCAGGATGACGACTACTTGGACGACACCGCCGCTTCCGTTATCGAGGCCGGCCTGGATCCTGAGATTGAAGTTGGTGCTGAGCAGGTCACCGAGGAGGACGTTGCGGGCCCCGCTGCTGATGAGGCCGCTGCAGAGCCATGATCGGCCATAACCTCTTTTGACTTGTGACTGGCCTTTTTGTTTTCTAATTCTGATTGTAACGGCCGAAGTGCCCACCATGTACTGACTAGTTGAATGAAATCATCTTTATGTTTCGTACTGTCTCTGTCGTCTTATTGTCTGTTCTTTCTTCTTTTCCCAAAAATTTGTATAAGTATTTTGGATTTGGGACTTAGGGAATTCTTCTAAGTGTCCGGACTTCAAGTGGGTGGGTGTTCTCATCGTCCTGGTGTTGAGCCTCACCTCACTGTTGACAGATGCTTTGGGAAATTCCCTAAGTGTTGAACCAATATGCCACGCGTGGTGTTGTTGTTGGCCCGGTGTTCTTCGTGGCCGCTGTGTTCCCTTGTTCCTGATCTGATCAGGGGGTCGGCCTGGATCCTAGTGTTGTGGCCGATAAGGGTGCACGGGTTGTTGTCCCCTTCGGCCTTGCATGTCTTTGTTACTTGCCTTGGGTCCTTTGAACTTAGTTCTTTGAACATAGAAATTTTTTCTAAGTACAAATGCAAGACATAGGTAGCTAACGGCCTGCGAGTATTCAGGTGCCCGCTTCGTCTAGAGGCTGTCCCTTTAAGTGCTTAAAGATTTTCCAAGTGCAAATGCAAGGCATAGGCAGTTAACGGCCTGCAAGTATTCAGGTGGCCGCTTCGTCTGATGCTGTCCCTTTAAATACTTAGAGGTTTTTCCAAGTATAAATGCAAGATCTTGTTCCTTCCGTGTGGCACCGTCATCGGCCAAGAGACGACTTTGTGGCCGATGCGGGTACCATGGTGTCCCTTTTGCTTTCCTCAAGAAATTCTCTAAGTGTTGGAATCACTTAGGAACCCTTTTTCCCAGGAATTTTCTCTAAGTGTTTGGTAAACACTCGGACAAATATTCCCAAGGATTTTCCGCTTGGCCAACCGCCTGGGTTTTAGTGCCCGTAACGGCCATCCGGAATGTTGTGGCTGGTAGGGGTTGTTACTTGAATGCTTAACTCTTGCGCGGGTGTAATATTGCCCGCTTCGTCCTGGGCTTCCTTTCTGGTGATCAACTTCAGGATTGTGTTTTGAGCGTGGAGTTGTAATTCTTTATTTCATGCTAAGTGTTGGTGCTTCAAAGGGCTATGGCCGATGAAAGTTACCACTCGTGTGTCACCCAACCACTTTGGTTAGGGTTTTATAGGCGTCTGCTTCGTCCTTGGCAATTCCCTTGTGGTGTGTGGCCGTTTCGTCCACATTGCCTGTTAGTAATGTTTACCTTTGTTTTCAACTGATATGTACTCAGCCAGATGTGGCTGTTTTGTGGGGATTTATTTTTACTGCTCGAGGCCGGCAAGTGCGCACGGCCGTCGGCTTCCCTCTTTTTTTTTCGTTCCTCGTTTCAGGGAGTGTCCTTCTTTCAGGCTTCGGCCAAAGGGGTCGATGGCCCTTCGGCCGGATCGGACTTCGTTTATAATGTCCGTGATCTCAGGGGGGGTCCCGTAGCCTATTTATGACGCGGGCTAGACTTTTGGTTGGTTTCCAACGGCTGTCATTGCCCATCCCTGAGTTTTGGGATTTTGTCACCTCGGCCATGATTTCAGGCATGTCGTCCTGCGATCAGGCGCCTGGACGACGCGGTGAACTTCTCGTTTCAAGACGCGGGCCGTTTGCGGGCCCATCGTCCTGGGGACGTCGTCGGTCCTGCCTGAGCATTTTCGCTCTAAGGGGCCGATACGACGTGCTCTCTCAGCTGGCCTAAACCTTTTGCTGATACAAAATACAATGGGCATACCCGAGCTTTTTCGCTCTAAGTTTGCAGATGCAGAGCACCACATCGGCCATGCCTGAGCCTTTCGCTCTAAGGTGGCCGATGAGGGCACTTTGTTCATGTTCAAGTCGAACTCCAATAAATCAAAGGAAACATGATTTTCATTCAAAAGTGGCTCAAGGCCGAGGGTGGCGTTCAATCAATAACCCGTCAAAGGGTGAGGGCTTCGCCGGCTGCACTTCCTTCGGATTATTGATAAAACTTCACCAAATGGTGTACATTCCACGTTCGTGGTACATTGGTCCCGTTCGGGCGTTTAAGCTTGTAGGTGCCGGGTTTCACCACGGCACTGACGATGTAGGGACCTTCGTATTTCAAGGCTAACTTGCCTCCTTCTGTCGGCTGGCTTGCTTCCCTTCGGCGGAGGACGTAGTCCCCCACTTGGAATTCTCGGGAACGTACCTTGGCGTCATAGTATGATTTTATTTGACGCCGGTAGTTCTCTGCTCGGATGAATGCTTGCTCGCGTCTTTCTTCGACTAGGTGGAGGTCGATCTTCATGTTTTCCTCATTAACCTCCGGGTCATACTGCTCCACTCGTCGGCTGGGAATGGTGACCTCTGTGGGTGCCTTAGCTTCAAAGCCATAGCACAGAGCAAAAGGTGTTTCACCCGTCGCCCTCCTTGGCGTGGTACGATAGCACCACAGGATGTTGGGGAGCTCGTCGACCCAACTCCCTCCTGCGTCCTGTAGGTTCTTCTTCAGCCCTTCCATGATGGTTCTATTGGCATTCTCAACCTGCCCGTTGCCTTGAGGGTAGGCAACGGAGGAGAAACGGTGTTTTATCCCCCATTCTCGAAGGAGCTCTTGGAAGGGCGCCGCTTCAAACTGGGTGTCGTTGTCGGATATGATCTCTTGGGGGACACCAAAGCGGGTGAGAATGTTCTTGTGAACGAACTTCTGACACCTGGCCCCCGTGATGCTGGCCAAGGGTTCCGCTTCGACCCACTTAGTGAAGTAGTCGACTGCGATGATGATGTAGCGGTTGTTACCGGCAGCTCTGGGCAGAGGGCCGACCAGGTCAATCCCCCACCTTGAGAACGGAATAGCAGTGCTGACGGGGGCGTAGTTGACGGCTGGCCGACCAGGGGCCTTCTGGAGTACCTGGCACGTGGTACACTTCCTGGCCAGGTCCGCACAGTCTCGTGCCATCGTCGGCCAGAAGAAGCCCTGGACGACGAGACGCCGGGACATGCTGAAAGGGCCCTGGTGCGAGGAGCAAACACCACAATGAACTTCTTCCATGGCCACGTCGGCCTCATCCTGGTGCAGGCATCGGAGGAGAGTGCCATTATAGGATCGTTTGTAGAGTTTGCCATCTTCAACGGTGTAGCTTGGGGCCCTGAGTTTGGCGAGTTTGGCCCTCTCCTCGTCCGGGGGCAGCTCCCCCGTCGTGATGAAGGTGTTGATGTCGGAGATCCAGTCCTCCGGTCGCTGTTGGACGCACAAGACGGGGCTGGCATGGATGCTGGACATGCTCAACTCCTCGATCTTGGCTAGGTGGGAGATGTGCTCTGGGGTGTCCAAGCTGAGTTTGGAGAGGATGTCGGCCTCGGCTTTCTCGGCCCTCGGGATCTGTGTGATCTCGTGGGTTTCGAACGCCTTCAGCAGCTCCTCTGCTGCTTGTTTGTACTGCTTCATCCGGCCTTCCTTTGCTTCGTACGTACCCTCAACCTGGCCCACTACCAGCTTGGAGTCGCACCTGATTTTGATGTGTCGGGCTCTGAGGCCGGCGGCGAGTCTGAGGCCGCTGAGGAGGGCCTCATACTCGGCTTCATTGTTGGATACCCTGAAGTTGAAGCGGATGGCATAGCAAGCTCTGAATCCTTCCGGGGATATGAGGACGCCGCCGCTACCACATGATTTCGCGGCCGACGGGCCGTCGGTGAAGAGGATCCATGTGTCATTGGGCTCTGGACCGGGGGCGGTATCGGCTGTCTCCCTTGCCGTGCATTCGGTGACGAAGTCGGCCAAAGCTTGCCCTTTGATGGATGGCCTTTGCTTGATTTCATTCTGAAACTCACTGAGGAAGATTGCCCATTTCACCATCCTTGAGGAGCTAATGGGGCTCCTCATGAGCGCGCCAAGGGGCTGCTGGGTCAGCACATGGATGGCATGGACCTGGAAGTAGTGCCCCAGCTTCTTCACCGTATGGACGATGTCCATCACCGTCTTCTCAATGGGGGAGTACCTGAGCTCGACCTCCCTGAGTGTCTTGCTGATGTAGAAAATGGCCTTCTGCACCCCTTAGTCCTCACGGATGAGCACGGAGCTGATGGCCGACGTGCTCACCCCTAAGTACAAGAAGAGGGTTTCGCCGGATTTGAGCTTGGAGAGCACGGGCGGGGACGATAGGTACCTCTTCAGCTCTTCGAAAGCTTCCTGGCACTCCGTCGTCCACTTGAAGCTGTTGGCTTTACGCATGATCTGGAAGAAGGGGAGTGCCCTTTCGGCTGACCTGGAGAGGAAACGGTTCAGGGCCGCCAGGCGCCCCGTCAGTCACTGTACTTCCTTGACGTTGCGGGGCGGCTCCATGTTGATGATAGCCTGTGTCTTCTCCGGGTTTATCTCAATGCCTCTCCGGCTGACCATGTAGCCGAGGAACTTGCCGCCTTGGACGCCGAAGGCGCACTTCTTGGGGTTGAGGCGGAGCCTGAACTCCTTCATGATTTTAAAGATTTCCCGGAGGTCGTCGGCATGGGTGGAGGCCTGCCTGCTCTTGACGATCATGTCGTCGACGTATGCCTCCATCGTCCGGCCGAGGACTGCTCTGAAGATCTTGGCCACCATCCTAGTATAGGTGGCGCCGGAGTTTTTGAGTCCGAAGGCCATGACGAGGTAGCAAAAGATTCCCTCCGGGGTCATGAATGCCGTCTTCTCAGTGTCATCTTCATGCATGGAAATTTGGTGGTACCCTCTTAAAGCATCAAGGAACGACATCAACTCGCACCCCACCGTCTCTTCTACTAGCTGATCAATGTTGGGGAGAGGGCGAGGACGACGTTGGCTAGCCACATTCTGGATGTTGGCGGTTTTTGGGCGAGGACGACGTTGGCTAGCCACTTCGGGTACTTCACCTCTTTGATGTGGTTGATTCAGAGGAGCATGGCGATCTCCCCTTTGACGAAGTCCCGCCTGTCGGCGGATAAGTAGCGCCGCTTCTGCTTGACAGGCGCGGAGGCCGGATCGACGGTCAGCCGGTGAGTGATCACCTGGCGGCTGATGCCTGGCATATCGTCCGGGCCCCATGTGAAGATAACGGCGTAC